CTTAGAAACTATCCATGCGGATCTTTGACTCAAAACTCTTGAGACAAATACTATTACCTGCATGATGACTGGGAAGCTCATGGTCCAAGATGTGGCCACTGCTTGAATATATCTTGTCAAAAGCGTTCACAAGGCTTTGTGCTCCTAAAATCAATAGCTATTTCTGACTGTTGGAACCAATGCAATGCACGGGAATAACGTTGGTACACATCATGCCCACATAAGTCAGTCATGCACATCATTGACATCATGATCTCTCCATCGGGTGTCGGGAAGGCGCAAATCATGAAAGTCTGGAGTATCAACCCGTTGCATCAATACATCAAGTGCCAGCTGCTGCAAGCATCAGCTTGCCTTACACCAGCTATTCATGGTACTGGTCTGGTCCATTGGAAGATCCAGAGCACATCAAGGGGCCACACAGAGCAGAGCAGGGAAGCGTAGCAAAAGGCATCAACAGCATGGCAGCGGCCTCTGCCAGAGAATGTCACCAGAGAGTGCGACGCATCCATCAATAAAAAATAGCAACACATGGTGGCTATGGCTATGCAATATTGAAGGAGCAGGTGGAAGAAAGTCCGGGGTTCCTATTTTTTAGGCCGACAAGCTGAAAGATGAGCAGGCATCATAAAACATGTGCGTTTTAGAGCTGGTGCAACCATCTTGGCGAGGCGCACAGACGAGAACCAATGCCAGCCGGTTTGAAACACGGAGGCAGCTTGCCATCAGGTTTTCTATCTCGAATGCTATCTGATCCTTCCCCTGCTTGCCCCGTCTTTTAGCAAACTCTTCTGGGATGCTCTTGGGAGGTTCTTGTATCAAGATCTTGTAAGATCCTCACCAGCAGCAGGAGGTTCTTTCTTTTCCCCACATCTCTGTGTGGGATTTTTGTTTTTGGTTCTGTATCCCGCCCGGCATCCAGCCTCCAGCCTCCGCGAACTCTCTTTCACACACAACTCTTTCACACACAGCTCTTTCACACACACACACGCACACACACACACAGACACACACACACACCACACAACACACACACCACACACACACACACACACCACACACACACACACACCACACACACACACCCACACCCACACCCACACACACACACACACCCACACACACACACACCACACACACACACAGAGCTGATTTTTTATGAATTTGGAACGTCAATGATGATCCTCTTGTGTGCACGCCTGGCCGGGATCATCCTTGGGAAACAGGTGAAACCAATGTTATTGTTGGGGTAAGGATCCCATGTGCCAGCTGCCTATTCTGGAATTCTAGCGTCAAACGTCACAGAACTTGCACGTGGCTACCTTCGGATCAGAAAGAGACACTGCAGATTGAGGCAACCGGGCAAATCTAGAATGAAATTATGTAGAGCCACGGAACTGGACAGCTTGTTCAACAGTTCAAACTGAAATTCTGCAGGTACAGGGAGGTGATCAGTCTCCCCTTCCCACCAATGACAATAGCTTCGCTGCATGCAGTATGTCAAAGGTGCTGCACGCCCCTGCTCTTATGTGCACTGAATTAAGCTGCAATGAATTTACACACAGCACAGCTTGACGCAGGTTGTTGATAAATTTGTCGCACATGTTCACCGGAACTCCATCTTGGATTTGAACGGTAGTAAGTTTCCTGCGTGTAAATAGCAGGGTGCACACACAACTCTGTGGCAAGCGTAGCGCTTGGTGGCATCTGCGCTTAATTTGCATGGCAGGCGTGGCACGTATGGCATTGGGTTGGGTCTCGTAACGCGCTTGGTCGCCGCTGGTGGCCCGTGGCGCCGCGGCATTTTGCGTGGCACGCGTGGGACTTGGTGACATCGACCTTCCGATGCACTTGGTGACATTGACCTTCAGTTTGCGTGGCATGCATGGCACTTGGTCATGCTCGCGTTGCTTTTGCGTGGCAGGCATGGCACTTATGGCACTGGGTTGGGTCTGGTGGGGCGCTTGGTCGCTCCTGGTCGCGCAGCCTTTTGTGTGGCAGGTGGCACTTGGTGACAGCAACCTTCCATTTACGTGGCAAGCGTGGCGCTTGCTGACATCCACGCTTCTTTTGCGTGGCAAGCGTGGCACTTATGGCACTGGGTTGGCTCTGGCGCGCGCAGATTTTTGTGTGGCAAGCGTGGCACTTGGTGACATTGACCTTTGGTTTGCGTGGCCCGCGTGGCACTTGGTCACACCCACGTTGCTTTTGCATGGCAAGCATGGCACTTATGGCACTGGGTTGGTTCTGGTGGCGCAATTGGTCCGCGGCTTTATGGGTGGCAATGGCAGGCGTGAGAATTGGTGACATCGGCCTTCATTTTGCGTGGCAAGCGCTTGGTCGCCATTGGTTGCTTTTGACGCCGCGGCCTTTTGCGTGGCAGGCGTGGCACTTGGTGACATCGACCTTCTGTCTGCGTGGCAAGCGTGGCACCTGGTGGCGCCGACGTCGCTTTTGCATGGCAGGCGTGGCACGTATGGCAGTGGGTTGGGTCTGGTGGCGCAATTGGTCCGCGGGCTTTATGCGTGGCAATGGCAGGCGTAAGAATTGGTGACATCGGCCTTCATTTTGCGTGGCAAGTGCTTGGTCGCCGCTGGTCGCTTGTGACGCTGCGGCCTTTTGCGTGGCAGGCGTAGCACTTGGTGACATCGACCTTCTGTCTGCGTGGCAAGCGTGGCACCTGGTGGCGCCGACGTCGCTTTTGCGTGGCAGGCGTGGCACGTATGGCACTGGGTTGGGTTAGATGAAGTTTGTCACACCCAACTCTTTCACACACAGCTTTGCGCAGACAACTCTTTCACATACAACTTCGTTACACACACACACACGCGCACACAACACAACTCTTTCACACACAACTTTGTCGCACACACACACACACGCACAACTTTGTCACACACACACACAGCGTCGTCACACACAACTTTGTCACACAACTCTTTCACACACACACAACAATGTCGTTGCACGCACAACTTTGTCACGCAGAACGTTGTCACACACAGCTTCGTCACAGTCACACACAACTGTGTCACACACAACTTCGTCATGCACAACTGTGTCACACACACACACAATCTTTCACACACACAAATCACATACGACTTTGTCACACAGAACTTTATGACACGCAACTCTTACACACTTGCTCAGAAACACCTTTGCGAATTCTGATGTGGAATGCATCTTACGTGCAAAAACACTCCAATTAAACCTGACAGGAGCCATTGAATGATCAGAAGTGAGAAACCTCAGGTTGAAGTTTGGTTGGCACTTGACAATGCAGTTAAACAACAACAGAAAACACAGTATGACTTGTCCCCCAGCTGCGACTTGAATGCGCCCAGGTGCGACACTGCAGGTACAGAAGTTTGCGTCCAAACTTCCATCCAAACTTCCATCCAGTTGATTTCCATAGCTTCGTTGGCGTGACTAGGAAATCAACCGTCACGCCCCCTGCAATTGAAAAGGAGATTGGATAAATGCCTGGTAAAATACTCAAAACTGGTTCATTGTAATGGCAAAGAACCTGATAAGAAAAAGCAATTCCGTCAATCAAGGTAGAAGTTTTACATCTCTTCAGATGTTCCACACACACGCCCCGCTGCCGCGAGGCTTTTTTAAGGCCCCGACGAATGAGATGAAGGTGAAGATGAAGGAAAGATGAAAATGAGATGACGATGAAAATGAGATGACAATTACTTAACCGGAACACAAGAGGGGGAACACAAAAAGGAAAAGGAAAAACAGAGAACACCAACACCAACACACCTGGCCCGAAACGGGCAAACCCTGAAAGGGCAAGGAAAAAGAAAAAGCGGACGGACGACGGGCCAAAAAACCAACCAGAGGAGGGGGGGGCGGACAGAAGCGCCTGACACAACCTACAAGGTGAGAGCCAAAGCCTACCTAGGAACGCGAAGGACCCAAACCTGACCTAGAGAGGAAAGCGCGCATGAGATAGGGGACCAATGGGGAACAAGTTGATGAAATAAGATGCATCCACATTACGTGCATTATTCGTGATAAGGCTCAAAGGCCCTCGGCTTTCATGTCACAACCCTGTAAACGGCTTAAGTTGCCAACCCCTGAATTACGTGCACAATTGAACCTCACCAACGACCATAAAAAGAAAGAAAAACCACACCTAAAGCATGTCCTGTTGCCTGATTTTTCATGAAAGAAAAGGTGAAGCCAGGCACAGCGGCACGTTGTTCAACCAAACGACATTCGACAGGGTGAAAACCGAAAAATGGCCAGCTGTTTCACGTTACTTAGACGAATTACTAATTCAAAAGTGTCAATTCAGAGGTCATTTCGAAGTGTCAAGTCTTAGCTTGGAAAAGCTTTCCCCGAAGGGTTCATGCCACCTTGACGAATCCAGCATGCATCACACACTTGCTCAGAAACACCTTTGCGAATTCTGATGTGGAATGCATCTTACGTGCAAAAACACTCCAATTAAACCTGACAGGAGCCATTGAATGATCAGAAGTGAGAAACCTCAGGTTGAAGTTTGGTTGGCACTTGACAATGCAGTTAAACAACAACAGAAAACACAGTATGACTTGTCCCCCAGCTGCGACTTGAATGCGCCCAGGTGCGACACTGCAGGTACAGAAGTTTGCGTCCAAACTTCCATCCAAACTTCCATCCAGTTGATTTCCATAGCTTCGTTGGCGTGACTAGGAAATCAACCGTCACACCCCCTGCAATTGAAAAGGAGATTGGATAAACGCCTGGTAAAATACTCAAAACTGGTTCATTGTAATGGCAAAGAACCTGATAAGAAAAAGCAATTCCGTCAATCAAGGTAGAAGTTTTACATCTCTTCAGATGTTCCACACACACGCCCCGCTGCACCGCACACTTGCTATCGGCAAGCAAATCAACTAAGAACAGCGCAGTCAGGGCATGTGGCTACTTGCCTGCGGGGCCTTAGCCCGCATGCTTGCTAGTCCACTGATGGCCAAGCCATGGCAGACACTGACTCTGGTTGG